ACTCATTTTCTAAATATTACCAGCTGAAGAATCTAAAAACTGTACATTCCTGGACGAAAATTCCCTAATTAAAGTTCTTAATTAGCAAATAATTAATTAATTAAAGGGAGGTCTTCTAATACGCCCGATGAACTTTTTGTCCAGGGGGGTCTTCTATTATAGGGGAGTCTACTAATATGGGAGGGTCTTCTAATACGGGGAGGGGTTTATTATAACATGAAAAAATTCTCTCCTTCCTAGTAGCTTAATATTATCAGACATTAATAACATGACTTACCATTGTTTTTGTTGATACTCTGTAGATAGTGCTAAAGGTCGGTCCGAGCTAACGGGACTATAAAAAGTCCAAATGAGCTAAAAATTCAGGGTAATTAGTTTCAGATATTGTCCTTTCTAATGCACATAAAAAATCAAAAATTTAAATTTTGACGAGTGCTTCGTATACTGAGGTCATGCTCGATGATCTCATGGAGACTGTCTTAAACAATTTTATTGATAGAAATATATTTGTTTGTTCTAAAGGGTAGTCGTTCTTTTTTTTCATCTAAGATCAAACAACATGTTCACACATAAACGTTAATTTATTTTCTCTATGTGAATTGCATTCATTTGGAAAGTCGTTCACTCCTCATGAATGACATAAATGTGTTCAATTTGCTTTCAAAAACTATTCTGTCTATAGTAGAAAATGAAAAGGCAAAACAATTTGATGCATATTAGTAAATTATATGTAATTCTAACAAATACGCATTTCAGTCAATTCTTTCGTGACTTTCTAGAATTCAGTTGTTAGTAGGAGATAATAAGATGTTTTTTCTTACCTGATTTTCGATCTACAAGATATTGCTTTTCGATTTCAGCTCAGTTATAATTCTTGGTGGACTTGAAGATAAAGAACGTCGATTTAAATCGCTCCAAGAATGCATTTCGAAGTTGTCTCAAGATGATTATGATGATGATGATGATTTACAGAATTACAATGACCTGCTCAAGAACATTAAATGGCTTAATACGACCTTTAATATTGATGCTGATCATCCGGAAGAAACAGGTGAGTACAGCATTGATGTCATCATCGATAAACTTGACTACACGAACGAGCAACGACTTGTTTTAATTCAACGAGTTAAGAAAATAAATGGTTGGAATATTATCAACGCTGTGATGATTTTCAATCTACAAGGTGGTCCGCTCAGTTTACAGTGACACCAACTGTTACAGGTATACATAAAAAGATAATTTTCAGCGAAGAATTTCTTCACTGAAAATTTCGAAATCTTCTGATCATAATCAAAATCATCAATCTATTTTTTTCGCAACACAATCAAAATCCAAATCGATTTTCTATTCATAGATGAAAGCCATCGTGAATATCTGATTTTGTTGCACAATAATTTGATCGATGATTGACATCAAGAATGACTCGCAGTTAATAATAATCATTTATTTCATCATTAAGAGTAGTAGAAATTATAAGATTTCTCAAATCAGATAGAGTGTAAATTATCTAACAAAATTTGATGGATTGTAATCAACGAAGTGTTTGTAAATTAATAGCGAAAAATGCATTCCAAATTCAATCTGCTATGCAGACTAGAGACGAGAAGTCAAGCTGAACTTCAGTTTAAGACTCAAGTCAAGTAAAGAAAATAGATATATTGATGTGCTTTGAGCATCTCGTTCATGTGTGATTCATACACTAACTATCGTACTAAAAACAAAGACAAAGAAATATTTTGATACATTTCACACAAGCGTCAAACAAATGGGAACATACAGATATAAGAATCTGTCGATTTGGATCATGTTAAAAAAGTCATATCTGATGTGACTTGACTTGATCTTTATAAACTTCCTTGTGTAACAGATAATCGGCCTATGAATGTCATGTACAAATAACGTGTTTGTGAACATGTTCGCGTCAGATGAAGATCTCTAATGCTTGTGTATATGAGAAATTCTAACTGAATGTAATCAACATTGGTATAAGAATAGACTTAATAAGTTAGTCATGTGATCAATTGCTTAGAATTATAAAGGATTTTGAAATAAAATTTGATATATTACTCAAAACTCTCGATCGTTGTCAGTTGTTGACCTTAAAGTTGGATCTGATATGATCAATATTTCAATCAACTGCTATGTATACGATCGATTTTAGGAAAAAAGCCTATTATTAGTTAATAACTAGTCAGTTCTTATCAATTGACAGACCAAACAGCTGGATTTTATTTAATTGAGATTTTAATTAATTCATGTGATCTTAATCGATTGTAATTATGAAAAAGCAATTATCTTGAGTGTTCCTGAAATTAAATCAGTAATAACCAGATTTCTTTTATAAAAGTAGTTTCTCAACAACAATCAGATTAAATTGTTCATGATTAGAGATAATCATGATTTTCTTAGGAACCTGTATCCATAAACTAAATTAGTTTTCTTCATCACCATTGTAACCAGAATTTGATGAGATCTCAACAATCTGATATTTTGCATGTTTCTTTCATCATAAGAATATATCATTGTTGACACGCCGAGTAACAAACGTAATAAAAAGTTAAGAGAAATTAGAATATTGTTGTGATTTGTTTGCAGAAATTTTTATTCCAATGATTAAAGAATCATTTTCATAAATTAAACTACATGCATATTATTTGTTTCTATAGGTCCATCTTCAGAAGTTGTAAAATTATGTTCTGATTCCATCAACAAATTTCGTGATGATGCAAATGCTATCAATGCCGTTGAAGTAGATGGATTGTTACGTGAAGAGCTATTCAACTATTGTTCTTCAACATTTGACCGACTTCAAACAAAATTAAGCAATACAGAAAAGAAGCTCGATGAAGACGATATAGAAATGTGTGATCTATAATTGTTACGAGCATAAGCAGTAAGATCGAGATATTCCAAACTCTTTCGATGAAATAAGAAGAATAATAGAAAAACAACGAACATATAATTTAATTCGTTGCTTCATTTCTATCAGATAAATAGGAGTGTATGAAAGAATACGAATGACCGCTTACTATTTGAAAATAGTTCTCTATGAATCAAGCAAGAACATAGGACTCATTGACATTCTATCGTTCTGATTTTAAGCCGAATTTTCTTCAATAATGAAAATAACTCGATCTTCTTTCAGTCACTACATAAGAAAGTTAATAGATTTGCATAACAGATATGAACACTTATTAGTGTTGCTTTTTCAAAAAGAGTAAAGTTTGCCTGCGTAGACATATACATGATACTTATTCAACTTAGAAATATGAAAATTATCTGTGTATTAAAACAGAAGTTTCAGCATACAAAACATTGAGAAATCCAACTGACCTAGGATGTCAGTGCTCTTTTGTTTCATATAAAAAAAATACATGGATCTAATTTCGAACTGATCTTATATCAATGTTTGGTGAATCCTTCTAAGAGTCTCGAAATGTAAGTTGATACGTGTCCGAGAATATTCTTTATACTAATTTAACTTTCAATTTATTTATTAGTAAGCAATTCTTTTACACACAAAACTACGATAACCAAATTCGAAGTTCATTTCGTACTGGAAATATTATTCGACAGATGTTAGAATTTAGTAGTCGCTTATTGCCAGTATTGAACATCGCTTTTTCAATTGTTACTTCAGTTTCTGGTTGAAGTCGTAGAAGACCTCTTTTGTTTAAAGTCAATTGAACAAGTTGATGAAATTTATCGACAATTTTTACAATAAATCTTACGAGATTTTCATTGAATGCTATATCACCATTACTGGTTTCGAGACAACATATACTGGGTAGTAGTTGAAAGAGATGGTTGATGTCAATGTATGGATTTGGATCACTGTAGCGTTTGTATAGTTGGAGATGTACATGTTTGACATTTGTATTTGATTGTGAGCAAGAATGTAAATCATTCCATTCTATAGTAAGATGTGAAAGACGAGGCGATATATGAAGCATCTGATCAATAATGTAAACACGTTCCGATCGTACAATCGAGTCATGAGCAAAGGCAAAAATCACAGAACGCAACCAAGGAAACCATAGGTGAGACCATGGTGAATTATATTCATTTGTTTGAATAAATGTCTGAAAAAAAAGAAATGATTATTTGTATATCTTCTGAGAAAACATATCCAACTGTCAAATCGTTTTTGGATCGGTCATGTGCACAAAAGATAGACCTCAGTGAGTTATTAAATGCCCTAGAATAGTTTGCTTTTCCCATCTTCTGTTGTCGAGTTATGAGTATAAGATTCTTCTGAGTAACTGAATGATCGAATTTCAAATTGAAATTTCGCCCATAGATAGGCCTTATAAGCACTAGGAACTCCTCGAAGTTTGAATCAGAATGAATGTATCCTTATCGAGATATCATCTTGTCATGAAAATGTCTCTATTTGAAACAAGCAGTTCTTTAAAATATGAACATCTCAATATGGACACATTCATTCTGGCTCAAACTTCATAAAGCCTATCTATGGGCAAAATTTTTATTTGAAATTCGATCATTCAGATACTCAGAAGAATCTTATACCCATAACTCGACAACACTAGACGGTAAAAACCAAACTATTCTAAAGCATTTAATAACTCACTGAGGTCTATTGTTGGCATACATGATCGGTCCAAAAGCGATGTGATAGTTGAATATGTTCCTTCATCAGTTTATTTGTCATTTCACAAACCAACAATGCAAAGAACATGATTAGCAGTTTTATTTGTATACTAACCTTTGTTTCGTAGAATTGTAAATGAAGTGTATCTAAGTGTCCACTAGTCAATTTGTTGAAAGTAGTTGTCAACTGATTAAGACTATCTATCTTATTACATATCCATTTGATAGAACGCCGATTGATCTGAGTTAAATATTGTGCAAATGAATGATTGTGAATAGTACGTGTATATTGTAATAAGACGTCCAATGGAGAAGTATAAAAGAGAAGGACTGATTTCGTCACATTCTCAAAACTATTGATAGAGACAACTTGTTCATCAAGATGATAAGCAAGATTGTTAAAGGACCATGTAACATCATATATCTTGACAATAATCTTTTCAAATACTTCATATAGATGTCCAGGAAAATAAATAAGAAAATAAAATTCTTTCCAAGAAGGTAGATGTTTATGATTAATAATTTGACAAAATTCTTCACAATGCATAAGTGCTACAAATGAAAAGTAAATTGTATTTTCTTTCAGATAATTTTTAAAAACATATTTTGGTAAACAAAAATATTTCAAGACGAAGTCAGTTATTTCAATCATGACACGTCTGCATATGAATGTGTATTTTATATAGTCTCCTGTTTACAATCATTATGTTAAGCATTAATTCTAATTTATAACTTACAGATTTCTGAAAAGAAAACTAACTACGATTGTCAAATCTTGTATCAGCTGATTCATAACTAAGAGTTTCATCATTACTTGAATAACTTACTTTCATCAAATATATCAACAAGTGTTAATTTCTTCCAAAGAGGCATGTTGAAAGAACGATTGCGAAGAAAATCCTATCTGGATGCGCCACAACCACAAATTCAATTTTGTGAAAGTGATATTC